AATATTTCTCCTAGCAATTTTAGAAGTAGAGATTAATGGCTGCCTCAAGATTCTACAAATCTTTTCTGCAAATTTAACAAAATAACCTTTATCTTCTATAGTGCTAGGAGTCACTTCCTTAATACGAATCTAAAAACTACGGTTCTAATATCAGTTTGTGACATAGGGGTAAGAGAATAAGATATTTTAGAGACCCTCAAAATTTAGGAAAATAGGACAAGACTGAGATTTGAGTTTAACTCATTTCAGACATTATGAACACTTAATCTTGGTATTGAGAGTTCAAACATGTTGTGAGAGCCAACTATGTGTAAACAAGCAAAAGGGATTCAAAAGATAACAGGACAAATATAAACCTGCTTTTGAGTCCAGGAGGAAAGAGAGACATAATTACAGCACACTAATGAATAAAGTGAATGAATGGACAAGATACAGTGAGTGAACCACCCAGTGGCATGTGAAGAGGGAGGATCAGAAGACACAGAACACTTAAAAAGCAGAAAGTGCTTAAGTTTTATCTCGAAGAAACAGTAGGCTTTGCCACCAAGACAAGAGAAGGAAAGGTATTCTAATTTGTGGAGAGAACATATGTGAAGGCTCTAAGTTAGGAAACAGCATGGCTCATTCAGTAAACTGCTCTGCTCCTATTAGTACAATTGGAGCTTGAGATTTATAGTGAGGAAATGCAGAAGATGAGCCAAATGATGAAAAGCCTCATAATGATAAAGAGTTGGGACCAATAAAGCATAGGTTTTAAGAAAGAAGCAATGAACAGATTTGCATTATAGAAAAATTACCTTAGAGGTAGTGTAAAGATGAATTAAAGGGGGTCAAGTCTGCAGGCAAACACTAGTGACCTCACTCTACATCCAGAGTTAAACAAAGACATGACATTATCATATACTATTCTACGACAGAACCAGGGATCAGAAATAAGAATAATAATGCTTTAATAGATAAAGCTAAATTATCCAAAGGAAATCATTTACTTTCATGAATGTATATTCTGAAATTAAATAATTCCCACATATCTTTAAAAAAGAAGAGGCTTCTAAAATTAGATATGATATATAAAAATTAAACGGAACTGGTTGTATCCTGAGAACTAGCTACTCTTATGGTATCTCTCTCTTTTTGTACATATAATACTGCAGATCTGCAACATAAGAACCAATGCAGTATAATCCTTGGAATTGAAGTTTACATTAATTATTAGCAGGGCTACTCTTGATATGTACATAAAGAGACAGATACATTTAATAGAGATATATGAAAACTGAGGCCTGAGAGATGAAGAAATTATCTAAGGTCACACCATTGGCAGCCCAGTGAAGATTGGAATTCATGTCTTATGATTTCCTTTCTAGAAATTGTTTTAGTATATCACATTTATGATTCTAGAATTCCAAATGATAATTCAAAAGACACTTTGGTACTGTTATTTTCGGCAGTGTATTAATGAAACCATAAAACTGTCTTTATGGTTCACATGCCTCACAAGAAAAACATATCTAGTATATGTGTATATGTTTGACAAAAAGAAATCTCTTCCTGAAATTTGTCTCACAATAGGAACACCTACTCCCCTGCCACAAAAGCACACCATATTTTTCTTTAGAAATCTAAAAACTTCCTTTCTCAAACTCAAGAAACAATTAAATTTGAAAAAAGTAAGATCTAAGATTAATTTATCTTTATATAATAAAATATCCAACAACCTTAACATGTTTTAACATTTTTCCTAGGTCTATGTCTTTCCTAGGTCTATTTCTTTTCTATGTCTTTTCCTAGGTCTATGTCTTTTGCTGTGCTACCCACTCTACCTTGCCCCCCTATAATTTTAGGATATTTTAAGTATATTTTTCCTTCATTAGTACACACAGGTGGAAGTGGCAACATTGACAAAAGCCTTATAAATACAGTACATTTCACTAATTTGTATAGTAACCAAAATTCTTTAATTTTTAGACTTCTCTAATTTGCATTTAAGTAATGCCTGCTCATTGAAATAGATTAAAGTAATATAAAAGTATAAAAATAAACAGCTCTCTTCCATTCTCTGCAGTTCCCTCCTGAAGAATTCTCCAAACATGGGTAAGTTTGTGATGTGTACCCTTACAGACTTTTTAATGCTTACATAACACAAGCATCTGCAAAGAGTCTATATATATTTAATGCCTAAACTCTACCGACCATAACTTAATGTTTCTTTAATAATTAAGAAGGCAGATCACTATCTTGCTTGGTTTCTGGTTATCACAACCCAAATCAATTATATTTCATTCAGGGTTTATAAAATAAAAGAGAGAGCTGAATCCCAAGTATCCCATGTATTGCTTCCTTAGCAATATCACAATTTTTTAATGTATTCATTTGTTGCCTTCCTTTCCCTCTTGATTTAGAGAATCACATGACAGCTGGAATCACGGTACCACTAGAGCTGTGACATCCAGCAGATAATCAAATATTTGTTGACTAATCAGTCTATGCTTACTTAGAAATCGCAAAACCTTTTTTTTTAAAAGTTTCTGAAACCTGCTTAATTTATCATTTGTCTTTCTCTCAAAAATAGGGGGAGGCTGGGTGTGGTGGCTCACGCCTGTACTCCTAGCACTCTGGGAGACTGAGATGGGCGGATCATTTGAGCTCAGGAGTTCAAAACTAGCCTGAGCAAGAGTGAGACTCCGTCTCTACTAAAAAAAATAGAAAGAAATTAGCCTGACAACTGAAAAAAAAAGAATACATACATATGTGTGTATGTGTTGTGTGTGTGTGTGTGTGCCAGGCATGGTGGCACATGCCTGTGGTTCCAGCTACTTGGGAGGCTGAGACAGGAGGATCGCTTGAGCCCAGGAGTTTGAGGTTGCTGTGAGCTAGGCTCATGGCACTCTAGCCCAGGTTAACAGAGCAAGACTCTGTCTCAAAAAAATAAAATAAAATAAAATAAAATAAAATAAAATAAAATAAAATAAAATAGGGGGAAAAAAGATCTGCTTAGGGTTTTTTGGTCTGTCATTGGAACCAAATATCTGCTCAGCAACAAATTTGTCTGTCAACTCCAATTTATAGATTTACAGAAACACTGTGAGTACAGGGCCCATTGCCTGTAGACTTCATTTACAGGCCTCTGTGATAGAGTGAGTAGCTATCTAACCAAAAGAACTGTCAGGCGAAAGCACAGGCTTTCTCACCTATACATTTATTTTTAAACGACATACACATACATACAGGTAATTGTATTTAAATTCCACCTAAGTCTGGACTAGTTACCAAGAACTCTGCAAAAGATCCAACGCTAAGGACACCTGTACAGTACAATGAAACTGTTAAGCAGCAATCTCTAAAAGAGCTCTGTTAGCCATCCTTACAGGCTGCAAATGCTTTTGCAGAGCTCTAGCTTTTGGACTTCAAATTCCAATGTTTTTTGGTGGCTGGACTTGAAATTATCTCTCTTCAACAACGCTTTTGAAAGGACAGGGAGAAGGCAGGACACACTTCACAGCACGACTTGACTCTGCTTTATACTCAGGCAAGACTTCAGAACAGATCTAATAATGTAGGATCAGCAAAGCAGACCACCTAGAAAAGGAAGCCAAAACCACCCGGCCTTCCCCACCCTCAACAGCTTCCAGTTGCTCAGGAGCTGTATCCACGCTCAATCTGCGGGGCCTCGCCTCCACAAGAATTTACAGACATACGCCCGCCTAGGGTGCTGCCACCTCGCTAGCTCCCAGAGCTCCAGCGAGACCAGCGCGCCCCCACAGGGATCCGGGGCAGAGAAAAGAAAACTGCAGAACAAACGCACTATTTCTCCAACTAGGCAACAACACCGATCAATCCTCCAACTAAGCATTGAGTAAATCTCATTTAGAGAGAAAGAGACCCGACCAAAAACGTTCCAGGATGCAGACCAGCCAGACTGTCTAACGGGCTGGCTCCTGATGCTACTAAAGTCCCCTCCGGCCCCCAACAGACCCAGTACCAGCTGAGCCGCGCCCACTCGGAGAAATCACCCGGGACCCACTAAGTCGCCCCGTCGCCCCCAAAAGACTGCAGACCATGCCAAGTGACCGCCCCTCTCTGGGCAAAGCAGAAAGCCCAGTACAGACGCTGGTCGCCTTGGCCCCTTCCGCCCCCAACAACCCAGGAAGGCGGCCCCAGCCCCTGCAGAACAGACACACCGCCCTCTGTCTCGGAGACCCCGCTAAACAGAACCCTGATACCCTGCCGCTTCTTCCCAGCAACGCGAAACAGACGCCCACGCCTGCTCAAAGGACCCCCCAAACCCTAACGACCTGCCCCCGGAGACCCAGGACCTTGCTGAACTGCATCTTCTGACCCCAAAGGGTCCGAGACCCCGATAAACAGACCCCATATCCCGGAACCCCAGTGCACCACCTCAAAGAACCCCAAGACTCTGATAAATCTCCCTCGACTCCAAAGACCTGGGATCCTCTATGCCGCCACCCACCGCCATCCCAAGCCGGAAGAGCCCCCGACCCCCAATATATTGCCCCCTCACCTCGGGAGCTCTGGAACCCGCCACACCGCCCCTCGGCGCCCGCACCAGATCCCACGGCACCGCCGCCTCGCCCCTCGCACTCCCGAACCCCGCCAAGCCTCGCGCCCTCCAGGCAGCGCCGCGCAGCCCCGGAGCCGCCCCCGTCAGGAGCCCGCCTGCCCCGGCGGCTCCGCGTCCCGGCTCCGCCGCCGCTCCTCAGCGGAGACGCGCTCCGAGCCTTCTTACCTGAGCAGGGTCGGAGGGCGAGCGGACCCGGGAGCCCTGAGGACGAGAAGGAGACGGCGCAGAAGGGGCGACTCAGGCCTGCGGTGCCGCAGCTCCTGCCTCTCGGCGAGGAAGCGCTTGTGTGAGGAAAGCCCTCCCGCTCCGCGCGCAGCCTGGAGACCGAGCACCACAGTGCCCGCCGCTCTTCCCGCGAGATCGCAGCCACGGCGAGGGGCGGGGCCACGGCGGGGGGCGGGGCGGGGGCTCCTCGAGTGACAGCCCTGGCAGCCTGGCGGCGGCGGCGCAGTAGGCGGAACTCGGCGTCTACTACGACCAATTGTAAGAGGGAAAAGGTGATTCGCCCCGCCCCTCTCCCGCCCCTCATCAATAAACTACGGTCAAAGGCAGTGGTGACCTGAAGTAGTTGGGGGCCGTGGGCTTTCAGGGCAAAGTAGCTTGGGTGTCGCGGCTTGGCTTTGTGTCTGGTTCTGCTAGGCCGCCGTAGCTACACCTGGTCTGGGGAAGAAGCCGGTCTGCCACCGGTGTAAACCGGAGCGCTGTTACCCTTGGTTACAGCAACCGAAGCGCGCAGGGTTGGCGTCTTCCAGGTTGAGGGCCCACGCCTCGGGTTGCCTGCGCCTAGACCTCCGCGCAGTGCAGAGTCCCGTTTCTCCCCGTCTCGGCCTCTCCTCCCTCTCCACCTCAAACAGGGAGCCATTGTTAGGATGCCCATGTTTTCCGAATCCCAACCCGGGACATCTGGTCTGACAAAGGACTCGGAATCTTCTGATTCGCGCATTTGTTTCTACTTAAAGCCTTTTAGAAGGGTAAAAAGTAAATCTCATTTGAGTCGCCCACATAACAAATTCCAAAAATGCATGAAAAGTAGACCCCAGTGCCCAGTGGTGTTTGGCACACACAGGGCACTGAATAAATGTGAAAGGAATGAATGAAGACTGTGATATTTAAATATGTAAAATCTGGACCTGCCCCAGAAAATTCAGCTTTCTTAACCTCCGCTGTATAATGACAGCCAATCTCTTTAGGCTTAAGTCCATTCTCTTCATTATCACGCCTATCCTGTAGCCTTCATTCATCTTCCCCTCCTCACTGCCATACCCACAGCAAGAAGTGCCCTTTCTCCTCATCAAGGTTAACCCCTGCACCTGTGCACTGGATCTCAGCCGTTCCCAGATTGTGTTTATCCAGCTATCCTTTCTTTCCCCATCATCACTTTCTTCCCCCATTATTCCTCTAACCTAACTCCCTTTTCCGACACATTCAGTCTCCACCATCCTTTGAACAGAACAAAACCACCCTACCTCTTCCGCCCAAACTACCCTCTCCTTTCTTCTCAGAATCATACTTTTTGAGAGAGATTGAAGTATATTTGCTGTCTCCACTCTCTCATCTCTTATTTTTCCTACTACAATGTTGCTTTTGTCCACACAATCTGCTTTTCTCTCAATGGTTACAAAAGACCTCTTTCCTAATGGATAAATGATCTATTGGGGAGTATCTTTCCCAATGACTTCTCTCAGCCTATTGACAATGCTGACATCTCTTCCTTTAGTACCTGCCTGACTACATTCTCTTGATTCTATAGCGACTCTCCTGACTTCTTTTTCTCTCCCCTTTCCTGGTTTGAAGACTGTTGCATATTGATGTCTCCTTATCTTATAACCACACCTTGTTCATAGTATGAAAAATGGCTACACACGGTTGCACATTCTGAGTGCCCATAAGTGGCTCCGAGAAAAGCTGTTAGAAGAGTCCAGAGGGAGGAGATAGGGCTGTGAGGCTTAAGCTGGGTCATAAACAGTAGGTTGGCCCCTATAAATGCAGGGCAGAAATGGAGGCCTTTCAGAGGAAAAAAATATTGTGAACCAGAACACAGAGAAAAGGATGTGGGCCAAGCCTGGCTGTGGGTTGGTCAGTTTGATAGATTCCTGTGGAAGAGTAGTGGGAGATAAGGTTAGAGAGAAATCAAATAGTAAAGGCCTTAAAAACCAGGCCAAACTGATTAGACTTGATTCTGTATTAAATGGGGACACAGGACCAACTGTAACATTGGTAGGGCCCATGAGAAGGCTACACATGGAGGTCCACACATCAAATGTCTAAATATGTAAAAGTTGTAAAACTAGCTAACAAACTGGGAGATTTTAAAAAACTATATTCTTTTGAGGCTGAGCATGGTGGCTGATGCCTGTAATCCTAGCACTCTGGGAGGCCAAGGTGGGAGGATCACTTGAAGTCAAGAGTTTGAGACCAGCCTGAGCAAGAGTGAGACCCCATCTCTACTAAAAATAGAAAAAAGTAGCTGGGTGTGGTGGTGCGTGCCTATGGTCCCAGCTACTCAGGAAGCCAAGGCAGGAGGACTGCTTGGGCCCAGGAGTTTGAGGTTGCTGTGAGCTAGGCTGCCGCTGCCGCTGCACTCTAGCCTGAGCAACAGAGTGAGACTTGCCTTGATGACTACATTTTCATAACAACTTGGAAGGCCAGGTTTGAATTTAGAATTCTAGGACTTCTCAGAGCTCCCTGCTGGAACAAGTCAGGTCAGGCAGAGCTGATCCCCACATGGAGCAGCCTTTCCGCCCTTGCTGCCCATAGCCAGTTCAGCACCACTTTGCCAGGTGCCACCTATCCCATGGACACTCCAGCCCACATGTCCAAGCTCCGTTCCCATTTTACCCCTCCAAAACTGTCATTTCCTGGCCATTCCATGGGCGCAGGGGTTCATATTTCAGAATCTAGGAGGAAAGCCCACACAGCCTCTGGAAGTTGCTCAGAGCCATTTGGGCAGGGAATTCTGGTCCTGGGGTACCTGGAGTGAGGTCTGAAGGGATAAAAACAGCTCTGGTGGACACACTCCTTGGCTTAATGGACTCCTGCTCAGTATGTAGGGGTGCAGCTAGAGAAGGGCCAAGCAGAGCCATTTAAAGGCAGCTCCTCCTGCCTGCATCTAAAGGTGGTGCCAGCAGAGCCACTGAGTTTTTTAGTAGGGAAATGACATGTAGAGTCAGTCTATATCTTGAAGTATGAATCTGTGTTTTTTTCTATGCTTCCTACCCCTTCTGCTCTCACATTGGTGTCATAATGGCAGGAATGTAATGGAAAGAAAACTCTACTCTTGACTTTATCCTTGTGTGACATCGTTTTCCCAATGCTCAGTGTCATAAATTATAACATTCTATGATTCCCTTATTAATTAGTGTATCAGAAATGTGGCGTCTCTAAATGTGAGAAAATAGAACAACTATGGAGTGCTCTCAGACCGGAGTAAAGCTTGGAACACTTACATTTGACTTTAAGTAAAAATGCTTTGGAAGTATTATAGAAGCTCTTGAAGAGACCCATTTGAAGGGCACACAGGCAATATGAGTACTGAAAAGGCAGTAAGCTGCCACAGATGGGGGCACCCCTCTCACCATCTGTCTTTATGGTGCAAAGCTTCACTCTGTGGCCTGACAGTCGTGCTCAATTCCCACAACCTCTCCATCTGGTACCAGGTGCTTCCTTGCTCATGTCGGGCACTTAGAGCCACCAAGGGGCCAGAATCACCGTGGTCTCTGTTTCAGATGCCCAAGCCTAGAGTTCTGCCTGTGGATCCTGCGCATCTCTCAGTGGTACTGTGGATGATTTTAGTGTGAGGTTTTGGCACTTGCTTGATCCCAGAACTGGGATCTACTCATAGCCTCACTGTCACCATCTGTGACTGGCCTTTGCCAACGAGCAGAATAGAATCAGCTAGCTTCTTGCTCAGGTCTTACCATCTGCTGCCTGCATTCTGACCTATTAGTCTAGATGAATACAACCACACAGTTCCGTCCCTGTTCAGAAGCCTTACGGGTGTCCAACTCTTTGAGCATACCCTGAGAAAAGCTACCTCCTGGCCACTGCATATTCATGAGGAGCACAGCAGGTAGCATTGTTTGAAAAGGTGGAAGAAAAAATCTGGCTCTCACAGACCCAGCTTCCACTCCATCCTTTTAGAGTTTTGGGGAAGTATCTATTTGATTAGGTTGGAAGGGTGAAATTCTGTGTGAATTACCCTAAGATTGAGGGAGTGGTATGCATCTGTCCATTTGCTGACCCCAGACTAAAGCCCTGACTTTGGTTTGCATTTTGCAGATAGCTAGTCATAAAGTGGGAAAATCAAGAGAACAGTGGTGGTTTTCAAATATGTTTCAAAATTCTTTGATACACCTCCTCTCAGGAAGTGGAGCTTAATTCCCCTCCTCCTAAGTATGAGCTAGACTTAGTGACTCACTTCTAGCAAACAGAATAGGGCAGAAGTGACAGTGTGTGACTTCTGAGACTAGATTGTAGGAGGCATTGCAGCTTCTTCCATGGTCTCCCTCTCTCTTTGATCACTCACTCTGGAGGAAGCCGGCTGCCATGACATAAGAGTCTTCAAGTAAAGGTCTCCATGGCAAGAAACTTAGGCCTCCAGCCAATACTGTGTGGATGTGCCATCTTGAAAACTCAGTCCAGTCCCAGTAAAACCTTCTGATAACGACAGCCCCAGGCCAACACCTTGACGTAACCTCATGAGAGACCCTGAGCCTGAACCACCCAGCTAAGCCTCTTCCAAATTCCACACAGAAACTGTGCAAGATAATATATGTTGATTGTTTGAAGCCATTTCATTTTGGGATTATTTGCTATACAGCAATAGACAGCTAATATGAGAGTGTTGAGTGTACTTCAGTCTACTCCTACTCTCGGACAAAAATCTGAAAACTTACATTCTACTTATTATGAGGCACTAACATTACCTAAAGAGCAAAAGACAATGGCTTTGTAGCCATAACTTGCCACATGTAAAATTCAAGTGGTATTGCATCAAAAGAAAGTGGAAGAAATCATTTCTTGGAGGAAACAAAGATTCCAGTGCCTTCAGAATCTAAGAGCATCCCAGCAGTGGGAGATAACAACTGTGGAGCTACTTGGAGATAGTCAACAGTAGGTCTTGAGCTGCAGGGAAACCTTTCCCTCCCAGAATGTTAGAGTGCTTCACAAACATACTACTTTCATCCAATCTTGCGGGAAAGTACATGTTTTCATGAAAACAGAGGAGAAAAAACCTCAAGCATCCTCTTACCCATCCATATTAGCTAAGAATAAAAAGTTAGTAACTTCATCTACAAGGACCTTGTCAAAAGTATTAATAAAATTGACATCGTGACAACATTAAGTGCCCATGCGAGAGCGGCATGTGTTTGACAGCAAGAAGATTGAATTCTTTTTGGAATGTAATACTGTATTTCTGAAGTCTTAACATTGTGAATTAAAATTCAGTGAGAGAGCAATTTCTCTATTAAATTAAAAATAAGGAAAATCTATATAA